AAAACGCAACATTTTCTTTAATCAACGTTCATTAGAATTTTTCCGACTTGCAAGCTGACCCGGATCATGCATTTTTTTTCGTTTACTGCTCTGCTCACTTTAGCTTTCATGGCTTGGAATTAGTTTCTTTGGCTTGTACTGGAAGTTAATAAATTGACAGCAGCAACAAAGATTTCACTGCTCATTCGTCCTGGTTACCGAGGATCGTCATTGCGCAGTCTCGGCACCTACCTTCGTTTCTCGGGCGATTTGTTGTCACGAGTCTTTATATCTCTCTCAGCCATCGTCCTTTCTTAGCTGAGGTTCTACAGTTGGCCATATGTAGCCTCTTGGGTACTAATCCGTCACTGCTCAAGGCCATAGGATCATCCATCAGTCGTGCCATGTAGTCCGCCGTAGTCTGACTCCAGCCCGTTCAGGGGACTAGGGACTGATTTTTTTAGCTTTCCATTTCTGTCGATCTTGGCAAATTGTTTTGGTCCCTGTCCATGCTTTTCAGGTGTCCGTTAGCCCTCTGTCCGCGCTGAATGGGAATTCAGTTAACGGCTTTGTGAGACTTAGTTTGCTCAGAGTTTTCCCGGGCAAATTTGGACGCAGCCACCTCCTCTTTTCAAGTTTCTCCTCCACACCATGTTCCGCGGACAAAAGGTTCATAATACTGTCCCTGAAAATCAATTTGCAACTTGTACTCACAGTGACAGTTTCATGGTATTCATTATTTATTGTTGTAGCCACTTTTTTAATTTCAGCCATCCTTCAGAAAATATAATATGAGTGGTATGAACATCACTTCAGCTCGAAACCTCGACTAATGGATAGGAAACAGCAATGCTCTTAAAATGCAGGCTGTTTCCAACAAGGTTGCCTTCTGCAGTTCATTCACCTCGATCGCTTCATCAGTTTTTCACATTACAAAGGCACCTATTACCACTATCCCCATAACTTTCTACATCCGTTGTTTTTTCGGTCCTCAATTCTTAACATTTCGGTATTTTTCCTTTATATTGCCGGATATGCTATACAAATGATTTAATCTTCATCTGCATCTTCCATCACCGTTTCTTTTTTCGGGTCGCGGAGGCAGACGCTTCAGACAGAGCTTCTAATGTTCTCGATCCTGTGCCAGAGTGTGAGCTTTGGCAGAAGACAAATGCAGTCTGGAACAGATTCCTTCCATGTGTTTGCACCAGGTTAATCTTGGCCGTCCCCTGGG